TGGTAGAGGTTATGAAAGATGTATTAAACTAGTTATGATGTACGATGTGAATACAAATAATTCAAAAACGGTGACAAGTAAGTAAAAAATTTCTTGGTTTTGTTCAATTTTGACTTCTACAGTATTCATATGCTGCAGTTGACAGTTGAGAATTTAATTACATCAGATACGAAGGCTCTGTCGGGATCATCAACACCTGCATCCTCGTCCGCCCGAACGCTCAAGGCGAAGTCAGCAAAACCGCATGGAAAATTAGCACCAAAAAGTTCACAGATTCACAGTTTAAATCAAGCTAAAACAAAAAAACCGAGCGACATGTCACGATCGAAAACCCGTATATCTCACGCTTTATGTGATTTACCTATAGATCGTCAAATATATGACCTTATTCACTCGTCAGGAGAAGTAGGAATCACCGCTAAAGAGCTTAGGGATCGCCTAGGTAGTCTCAATGTTAGATTTTTAAATAAAATTCTGGTGAATCTCGTAAAGCCACAGCCGGACGATTTAATACATTTTACGGTGAAAAGAGTTGGAGAATTTCAAGGAAGAACAAGGCAATATAGGTATTTTACTCCGGACGGATTTGTAAAGTACCAGATTGCACAAGGATTCGATCCAGAAGAAAGCGAAGAGCTCGTTGGATCTAACATGGATAAAACGACAATGTTTGATCCTTTAATTAACCGGTTCAAAGTAGTCAACGTTAAGCGCAATAAACCCAAGTACAACCGCAAACGAAAGACGAGCAGCAAACTTTCCGGAAATGACACTAATAGTGCATCAGAGAGATCGCATAAGAAAATAAAAATTCAGGATACTGATTATCTTATTGAAATTGGACCGCCGACAAAATTACAATCCGTAAATACTTCAACAAACATTACTTCGGCGTATAAACGGCTCGGCAAAATACCGAAGATCAGATGTTTGAACAGCACCGAAGAGTTAACAGAAACGAATAATAATGATTCTGCAACTTCAACCAACGAGTGTATTATTGTTGAGGATGAGGAGGTTTCTGAATTTAGGGCCAGTACTTCTCGGGCTCAAGTCGTCTCCGTAGAACAGCGTTCCTCTGCCAAGAAATCTGCTACCAAATCTTCATCCAGAGATACTGGTTCTCGCAAACAAGTTGCAAGCAATACATTTACTTCTCGTCGGCGCCATAAAATTATTAGTGATCTCCTCGAAGAACACAAAATACTTGAATGTAATTATGTCTTAATTCGCCGTTATCAGGAAGCGGAAGCGAGTTATGGCAGTTCAACTCCCTATCCCCACATTGTCTGTAAGAAAACACTCATGCGTGCTGGAGAATACATGGAAATGAAGGGATTACTAAAGCAGTACACTGTTGCATTACCGCTTCTAAACGGTGGGATTACTCATAAACTATTATTCCTTCATCCAACGTTAACACCAAACAGCAAAGAAGTAAAAGACTATATTGCAAAAATGCAAGATAAAGCTATCCTTGCCGGTGGAACTTACAAGTCAACTCCGGTGGATGAAGTAGACGTAGAGGTAGAGAGTTTAGATGAAATGCAGAGACGCATCGGTGTTAACAGTGAGCGAGGGGACGTTTCTCCTCGTTTACGATACGATACGATGATGTTCGCTGATAGTATGGATGTCGATAATGCAGAAACTCTACCATCAGATGCAGGAGAGAATGTCCAAAGCACTTCACAAGTAGACCCTGGAGGCGATCTCTGGTGGTTGAATATAGCTCGGGATTACGGGTGGATTAATGCGAAGATGCTTCGTGCTAAATTATTACATCAGTTTTTGATAGAAACGATTAATAATGCCTCGCCAGATGATAATCGTGTTTCTAAAGAAGTTAGTGTGTTTGAAACAGCTATTCTACTTCGAGAGATGCCGTTGGGGTTGTATCTACGCATTATTGGGCAAACAAATCCCAGTAAGGAGCTTACCGACTATATTAACTCTGGTGGAGATCTTTCCGTGCGGTTGATTGATGTGGCGCCCGAAATTCGTGCTACCATTTTTCATCGAAACTACAAATACAGGTTCGCTTTGAAGAATTTGTTGGATATATTAGCAGCATTGCAACTTATAAGTCCAATATCAAAGTTGCTTGATGATGAGGGAAGGCCTTTGTTTGGCCCCTTGACTAGAATGTGGTTGGAAGGTGCAGATGAAACCAGGGCTCCGGCGTTGTTTGAAACATCCGATTCCGATGTACTTATGCCGGCATATAAAGTTATGCATACTGTGCCAATGTATGATTATACTGTACCTGGACCTAGTCGCCCTTACATAAAAGATTACCAGATAGTGACTCCGGAGGATCTGCAAATATACTGGAGCGAATTACAGTATATTGCACTACAGCGTGAAACGGAATCTAATGTTGCTGATGTGGATAGATCTCAAGACGTTTCTCAAGACGTTTCTCAAGACGTCTCTCGAGACAAAATTAACAGTAAAAAGTCGAGCAAAAATAAAGATCCTTTGAGCTTTATAACCTTCCCTCGTAATTGGCAGGGTTCGTATGCTTTAAGCATCCGACAAAAAAAATTGCTCGAGTCTTATGTAGACCGTACAGCGGGTAAGACACCTTACAATGATGACATGCTTTGTCAAAAGATAAGCAAAGAATGTACAATTCCTGTGTCTCGCGTGAAAGCTTACTATAAACGAATTGAAGAAGCTTACTATCAAAAAACTCAAACAAAACAACCAAATCGCGCAAGTATCAAACGCGCTCCAAAACCACGTAGATCGCGACGGGAAGGTCTTCTCAAACAACGGTCCATTTCTGGTGTGGTTGCTTCCGCACAGGGTGAGCCCTCATTTCGCAGACGTCGTCGTACGACAAACGTTCATCGACTGGTCAGGAAAGTCCAACGAACTCGTAATAATACTTCCAAGAATACGAGTCAAACTGAGACGAATGATGAACTACAAATTGAAGCGGCTATTGTTGACGGTGAGATTGTACCAGTGATTAACGATGAGACACGTTTTGAGACGCAGTATGAGCAACTAGCACAGCGTACACGACCGAATTGGACGGTAGAAGAGGATGAGTTATTAATCCATGCTTACGCTATTATGAAAGTTCGTGCGGCAAAGGCAAGGTTTCTGTGGGCCGTTATTAATAAAGTGATACCGAATAGGACCAAAGAAATGTGCCGGAGAAGAATAGCTGTTCTAAGTAAGAGAGTTACTATGAGAGATAGAATTAACAGTTTGACTATCCAATGGGAGAGAATATACAAAAATGCTATTGAGAAGGAGGATATTATTGATGAGAATGTGAACGATTTGTTGAATTATGATCTTCTTGGTCAAGTTGAATATTTCATGAAAATTATGGAAAATCAACCGAGGTATGCATATTATATTGATAGACTTGATCTTTCCCTCTTGTTATAGCTATGTTGGGTGCTAACTGTTGTTTTCTTGCTTAGTATCTTGACGCCGGTACCGTCCGTATATCTTCCAGCAGACGTCTCCATTCTAAATGAGCAATTTGTTGTCAAAGATTTCTCGTCCAACCGTAGAATAGATTATTATTTTGAAGACCAGCTTCCAGGGAAATCTCTCAGACAAAAACAAGAAATTCTTCTCTCTAGTCAGTTTTCTTGTCAACTTCCGAACGATGAGCTTGTCGATTTTCCCTTGAAATGTGAAAATATTACGATGGATACAGGAAAAATGACGACAGATATGGTCGAAGCATTGTTAAAGGTTTGGAATAATAATTTGCGTTTTTACGTACAACTATTTATTCACCTAATACGCATTATAATTATTCACGCTTTTGGCTGAGAAGATGATCCTTCTAACACCCGACGATCAATATGATACCACCCATGCATTCTCTATACTTAATTCTTATCCCATTGAATATGTTGACAAAGCATTGGAAGAAGCTAAAGCGAGTGGAGCTATTGTCAAAGTCAAAAGTGGATTCGATCGTAGAGTTCCCGGTCGTGGCTATCATGTGTCTGAGAAGTAGGTACTTGATTCCTTGTACGAAATATTGATATCTAGGGTAACAATGCAATATCTTCGATCAATTTACTATAGATTTCTTAAAGTTATAAATGGTAACTTGCCAGAACGATTCTTTACGCACGCAGCAAATTACCATAAGCAGCTTGTGCAGAGAGTCATGTTTTCGCCTTTTGCCAACAGTGGAACCATGGCATGTCTGTTGGATATGCTTGCAAATGACAAGGTAGGTTGCTTAAGATGACGCCTAAAGTGGGATTGATTACGCAATTGACTTATTCAGCTTCTGGCTATAGATTACTCTGACAGGACTGCTGCCATCGCATTTGTTTACGAATTTAATACCGAACTACAGAACGCGCCAAATTGGTAAGTGAGCGGCTGGATTCAATAAAGAAAAGAGACATTAATACGTTTTTGATACCTTTGAGTTGTTCCATGCTTTTTCCTACGTTTATTTTCTCACTTTTCTCATTTTCGCTACATATAAACCAGATGAAAGCAAGCTCCACTTTGACATTGTTATCTCTCCAAAGAATTTTGATGCCACTATAAAGACATCGATGGTATCACAACACGAATTTCTATCAGAACCAAATAACCATCAACTTCCAACCATAGAACAACCAAAGATAGTAATGCTCGATGAAGACACGTCTATGGATACTATCGATTTAGAAATTGAGAATAGACAGAATTCACAGGAGCAGAATGTGTTAGAAAAGCAAGACCGACAGAAAGAGAAGGGGAAAAAACAATCATGTCATTTCAAATTTCCAAAATCTAAAAAGGAAGCTGTGTCAGAAACCAAGAAATTGATGATGACTCTAGATAAAGAGACGAGAGGTAGTGTTTTTACCGTTTTCAAGGCAGTTGCTCGGTTTGGTAAACTTGGAGTGACGATTAATTCGTTAAAGGCAAGTGTATTTCAAACTCTTTCAAAACGTATCAGCGATGGCAATTACTTCAACAAAAGCTTTGCTAACCTTTCATTCAAACAATCTTAGATTTATCTACAAGAGAGTTCCGAGCAAGTTCCGGACGCCCACATCGGTCAAGCTCTCAATCTCCTAGGGAATCATACTCCAATATTAACTATGCGTGTTGGTCATAAAGTTAACAGATACGTTTGCGGTGTATACGCAGAACGGTGGCTAGTTGATGTTTCTAACAGACAAAGTTATAACTCTGCTCGGTACGCGCCCAGGACAGTAAATGCAGCAGTTGATGCAGGAATAACATCTGGTCAGGGTCAAACGCCGAGAGAGAGGACTGAACCGGAAAAGAAATTTGCATTACCTAGAATGTGGTATAATATCAATGGCGAATTCATTGAATCCGTTCATCGTGGATGTTTAGAGGTGGTCCTTGGGACTATTCTGAAGAAGCCAGGAATTTATGAGGTAAAGAATTTGAGACGACAGTCGGTAGTTGATAACTCTTGGATTTAAACTCGTTGTCTTTTTGTCATTTAGTCTAACATCTATAGAAAGCTACGATTGGTCATGACACATGCTGAGATCCAGGATATCTTGGAGGATCTCGTGGAGAGAGGATGTGTAACAAGGCGGTGTTTCTTGAAACCACAAAAGGCAACGTTATTTTCGGCACCGAGGACGTTTGAGGATTGCGGTATGTATTGCTATTGAATGCATGGATACTCGCTTGCGACGCTATACTAAATTATACCTTTTTATGGATAACTCAGACTACAATGTAATTAGTTCCGATAAAGTATCTTGCTATTGGGTTAATCAGGGATACTATTTATATCATGACAAGGTTAAAAATTGCTTCGTCTAAGAAAATGGTTTCTTTTGTATTTATAAGTTGTGATGAATATAACCTTTTTAATAATTTATGCTTGAATATGTGAAGGGAGATGGATAGGCATTCTGTAACTCTGCTGAGAAATTGGATTAGAGTAATAATAATCACAACGTGTGATTGCAGCTCCTAAACCATTGTTGCGATAACAGATGTCAATATATCATATAATGCGAATATGCAATTCAACGTTATTAGAAAAGTTTCTACAACGATAAATTGGAACTGATTTTGTTATATAACAAACGATAAGACAAAACCCGTTACTTGTTATTAGATTTAAACAAGTATAAATACAAAACGCCATTATTTTTGCAACTTATGATATTGTCTTGAATAACAAACTTTATTATAATATCAAGTGTATATAACGTTTACAGATAAATATTTAAATTGTAGAAAGTGTAATTCAAAAAATAGTTTTGTAATTGTCGTCGTAACCTTCAATTATTCTCTGTTGTTCAGCTACTCTTCTTAGCAATTTTGTTACCGTTATTTTCGCCGGGGGACTGTAAGGTTGAATTAGTTCCGAGGCATTTCCAGAGAATGGTGCAATACATTGTGCTTGCAGCAGCATCTACTAAATTCGCGGGCTCGCGGCTTCTGTTGTATCTGTCTATTTCTTTTCTGTAGAGCAAAAATGCATTTGCGTAACGGCGACTGCAAATACATTTTGCTTTTCTGTCTAATAGGTCTTCGACGGACAGGGTTGTTTGAATGTCGGGGTATTGTTGTTTGATAGCGCTAACGTGTTCATTTATTGCGGTGCGCATCAAGGTTTCAATTTTAAGGCTCATTTTGTATACGACACAGTAATGTAGTAAGTGTAGTGGCGGTAGTAAGTTGGCCATTTAAATTCGCATGTTCCGGGAGCGTAGTTATCAAATACAAATGGCCACCCGTAGGTAGGAGAGAACTTTGGCCAGACGCTGACATCAAATCCATAGCTGAGAAGTCGACCGGCATACATCCAGTTCTTGTCCGTCATCCGCTCTCAAGTGCAAGCAGTGAGCCTTTATTTTCTTGGCCTTGTTTTGCGTTGAAAATAGATGATGATAGGGGGAATAGCAAAAAAGAAGCGTGCTTTGCGTGCAGAAGAATGTTTGGGCGTAGCAGCAGAATAGGAAATAAGTGGTAGATTGCGCGAGGAGGTTAAAGCCCAGTTTAAAGCTGTTAGACAACTCGGGTCCGATAACGAACAATGATCGTCAGCTATTTATATGTATGTACATTCTTCGTGCCACAAAAATGTGCTTTTTAAATTTTCGACCCTCAGTCATGACAAACCGAAATTCGAATGTATCCGCTGACTTACTCTTTCGGATCACAGACAGATCGGTCCTCCGGTCACCCATGCCAAGACACATAATCTCACTTCATTCTATAGAGACAGATACTCCTACTATATCTCATAAACGTAGTCCAATAAAACCCGGCAAGTTTATACGGCCGACGCCTATAGTGCCTGCACTCGGCATACCAACGACGCGCAAGCCATATAATGTCACTAGCTCGTCGTCAGATTATGACAGATTAAAACAGCATACAATCCTGGAGAAATTTTCCCCATCAGAAGCGCATTTACTAGAGTCAAGTAACGATATTGGTCTTGGACCTTGTGAGAAAGAGGTTGCCGATACTATACCAGTGTGCCGACAAAGTTTCGAGGTAAGCTCGCTTCCTGGTCCTTTGATAGAAGACGACTATCGACCGGAAAAAGGAATATACATGAATCGTTGGCATTTGAGATGCATTTCTGCATGTGGATTGAACCTTCCAGGTGATCTTGGTGTTTGGGTAGTGTTGAAAGGAATACGGAAATACAAGGGACAATGGAAGGACTGGCATTCATCGGCAATTGTCGATAGAGTTGACTCACGAACAGTGCAGACATTAAGTGGACAAATGTACTACCTGGCTGGTGACGTCATTGCTGATTCAATGATAAAAGATGGTGAAGTACCTTACTGACATTTTATTTCTTTTTGTTGTTGTACAGCAAAACGATCTAACAGTATTTTATTTAATATTAATAAAAAACGTTAGGATTTTCAACAGAGTTGATATCTCGATTTTCGCAAGGATTTCCTTCAGATTGGAAAGCATTGTTGGCTATTGAATTCGAAAGACATCAAAAGCCATAAAATAATGACGGCAACGGCGACGACGGCGACAACGACGACAACGACGATATCAACGCCGACAATGCCTAAAAGAGTCATAAAGCGCAGTCAAGATGACGGTGCGGGTGATCTGTCTACCAAATCACCGCCCCGTAAGATTTCTAATACAAGCAAGGATTTCTTTAGTAAGCCCGAGCCGATTCCGCCATCACCGAAGGCGCTAGTGGATTCTAGCGAAATTATCGAAGATGGGAATACATATTCTCAGGAGTTTCCACTGAATGCCGACGTAAGTTTTCTTTTTACTCTGATCATTGAGAACAACGACATGAGCATCTACCATATACTATTAATAATACTTCGCTTTCGCATAGGTGATTCTACCAAAAGATGTAATTAGTGTCACGCGCGCAGGACGTCGAATAAAAAAACCTGGTGCTTGGTGGGCCAAACACTAAACAATTTGTTGATATCACGTGATATACGCAGTATTCCCGATGCTTATGGGAGAAGATATGTCATAGTTAATCTCTTTTGTATATGTTCTAGCCCGACCTGATATATTATCATTAACCCTGTTGCAACATCTAATTCAATATTAGGTAGTGGTCAAGCATTACTAATACCTAAACGGTGTAAAACCATAAGATGTAAAGGAGAAATGTGCATGCCTCGTCTTCCTGGACAGTAATTTAATGGATGGCGATCCGATTTTCCTGGTTTACCGTTCAAAATCCTAATACTCATCCGTCCCTCCATTTAAACTGCTTAACAAGATACCTCGGTTACTTACCCACCACAATCATAAGCTCGTGAGTTGTTAACTGTTAGTAATAAACATTAAATTGCAATTACAATCAATTATGTAAATCACGACGTAATTGCAAGATGGTTCCATGATAATATGTAAGGTCTGTATTAATATTAATATGGTTTTCGCAACTGACATCGCATGCTGTCTTAACAAACTCGCTCGCAACCAACCGAAAACATTGATGTACATTTTCTCTCTCTCTCTCTCTATTTTTATTAGTTCCGACCTGTTGAGCTAGCTGCTATTACATAAGCATACTCTCTTATTGTAAATCTGGACAGATGTATGAGAACGGACGAACGATTATCGTTCAAGCTAGAAGCAATGAAATTGTAAGTATAAAGTTTGGATAGACAACAAAAAGATGAATCGAATGCTGATGTGTGCTGTTCGTGCATTAATAGTATGTCTCATATAATAATCCATGTTTGTAACTCAATTGGGTCATGCTGGACTGAGTGACTAGGTCCAAAACTGAGATAAGTCCCAAGGAGATACAGTACATGCCAGCAATAGGGAATTACGTAGTGTAACGGACATTTGTCAATAAAATTAGGTTCGTGACAGGGTTCAAAATTGTCTTATCTTGCGTAAATGCTAGTTATATTCCATAATTGAAGTCTATGCTGTCACTTCATATTAATATCATATTAAATGGAATGTTGTAATCAACCTAGTATTGTCTGCGGTTATTAAACGGCTCATGTGCGATTATAGTAAGACGCGCCAAGTTTTATTGCCCTTCTATAATTAGTACACTCTTCAACTAAATTATTTTTGTACGTCACTGTCGCTGCGCGATGAGTGGGTTTATTGTTAGATGGCAGACAAGACCAGACAGACTCGCAATTTAATTAGATTAGCAACAACATTTTTTATACCTCAATAACAACAGGAGAAGTATAAAGACTGCCTGCAAGTTTTAAGTATACAAACGCTCTTAACATAACAATGTGAAAATAAGCATATTATTTCAATAAAAATTACGACAAAGCATACGAACCCAAATTCTAGTTATGACCACATAGTACACTTTGCTTAATATTGATTACTGCTAATTGAAGCCAGGCAATTTCACTGATAATAAGATATTGGTATGCCCAAAACCAAATGGCTGAAGGACGGAATAGATATTGTATGGAATGGGTTCTTAATCTGTGCAAAGAAAAAACCAGATCTTGCTGCTACATATTGTATTCATGTCAGAATACTATTACCTAGAAACTGGAAAACACCTTTCAAAAATAAAGACTATTGAGAGATATAGGATGCTTCCAACAGAACGGTCACATTTCTTGCGCGGTAATTTCCTCAAGACTCGTGTTCGAGACGTTTAAGGATAGTCCTGACTTAAATCTCATCAAAAGCTTATTAAAGAATGAAGAATCAATGTAGAAACAATGGCAATAAAATCTCTGCTAAATAACATCAATAACTCAGCACAGTTGGCTTTTATTTAGCAATGTGTAATGAACTTTTATCAGGTAATTTTCATTTTGAGCAAAGTGTCCAATGCTCTTAAGCTCACACCTTCATATCATGTTTCAACTTGCCTGCGCCAAAGAGTCTTCCATCATAACTTGCATTTCTTGTTCCTTTAGAGATTGTTGATGTTTCTACGGTTGTAAGAACCGCCACCAATCATGAACTGCTTTCGGGACCTTTTTCTTAAAATTGAAAATGTTAAAGAGCAATACATCCAATTCCATAGCCTCAAATGTTACTTCTAAAGACATCATTTCGAGTGTGCAAGCGGTTACATGCCCAAGACGGCGCTCCACCACGGAGATGCCATATCCCTAAAGCACATTGCTAAAGAGATCGCCCAAAGCCCGACCTGCCATAGCGGTGTGGTCAGTTGCAGCTTTCATGACACAAACACATTTACCCCACGTTTTTTGAGATTAACAGCCATCATCTCAGACTTCAATTATAAGCCCATTGCATCGAGCTATGAAAAGGTCCAGTGTGGAAAGAAAACGCTTGTGCCCCATCTGGTCCATCTGTCTTGAATGAATCTGTTTCCTGCGAGTAGTTCTTTCCCAGTTTCGTTTAGCCACGACAGGAAGCCGAGTTCGCTCCACTGATCGGAACTGGTTTGAACAAAATAGTCCGAGTTTTTGCGATTCAAAACCAGTAAATGTAAAAATAGGGGTGCTGGGAAGGAAAAAAGCTAAAATATATCCCACCTAGCTGTTTATTAGCGTTTGAGCGCGGCATTTGAAAACGAGAGAGGTGTATAGTACAGTATATGTACTGAGTAGGCATCCGCGTAAAATTTTCTTGTATGTCACGTGATTGTAGGTGTTCCTACACAGTAGCATGTCCCATGACTGTGTCAAAATACCAGCCACATCAGCCATTTGATGTGGCACCATCCCCAATTAACTATTAATAACTATTCAAATAACAAGACAAGCTCGCCAATGCAATTGTCCAGCTCATTATTACCTTGCCTATATCAATCGTAGACGCTAACAAGACTTTATTACAATCCTATTAAAGTTGACAAAAAAACTCATTTCGAATCAAATACACGTGATCTCTCTTTTTTTATCTGGGGGAATGCCAAGGTAAGCCCGTTGTTTCCATTGTCCAATGATGTAGGGTTACGTTTCGTCAGATCATTATTGATTACGCATATTCCCACATTCATTTATACTCCCATTAACAAGGCCCTTTTGTAAGCATTATAAATTCCATTCAAAAACTCCTTATCTATCGACATACAAATATCCCACACAGTATGCAATCTGTGCGCCTCTATTACATAATGGATTATTGTCTCTTTTCTTGTTGACTATGAATGTGTTTGTTCCATAAATTGTCTCGGAGATTACAACGGGATGCGGGTACGTACCCTGATCAGAGAAGAGATGGGGGCTGAGTGGTTTTTTTTTAACTCTTGAAATTCTCCGAAGCGAAATGCAGATGTTTCCTCATTTGGTATGAACAAACAGTGAGGGCAAAAGGGTGTAACGGAGGCATTTTAGGGGTCAGAATTGTCCGTCATATTGGTTCTATCACCCCATATTTGTTAATGAGTGATTAAGAATCTCAATGATGGTATGTCGCTTTTTGGGAGATCGGTATAGGTCGTGTGGAGTCCGAAATCGTTGCTTGCAATATAATAATAGACTTGTATGCATGGCTCATATGTATTACTATTAATATGAGCATAATCGCTTCTCAAATACAAACGTACCTTTTCATAGGAAAAACCAGTTTACATACTAGTTTTTGGTAGTCTGCGCATTTTAAAGATGTCATTTCTCGGGAGTTATCCTTGTTCAATGACATTTCATCGCGTAACAGAAACTTTATTGCTAACCAAATATTTCTACTGACATGCGTTTTGCGAAAGAAAGGATGAACAAGCGAATTCAATAAATAATAATAAGCGCTATACAGGTATTAAAATGCTTCTCTCTACAGAAAATGGTACGGCAGAACTGTTTTTATGCAATAATGAACGCCGAAAGATCATGCCTTTTTTATTAACACGAGCAAATTACCATGAGCATTACATTAGAGCGTGCCCTAAACTTTATTTCTTTTGCATCAAGTTAGAGCAAGTGCTATATACGAGTTAGAGCGTAGTTATATCAGAAACCTAATTTAGTAATAGGGGAAATGAGCCAAGACTAAATAATTCCAAAGCTAGCTTTTCATTTTGGGAAATGCCAATAGCTCTCGGCATAGTGATATTTGGTAAAAGCGTGTTAAAAAGGAATACAATGAGGCAGTTAATTGCTTTTCAAATATTAAAAAGATACCAAAAGTTACATAGTCGGGAAGAAAGATCTTATGCATACATGGTGACAATCAACTCTGATTCGTTTGATTTAAGTATCAACCATGTCAAAAAACCATTGCGCCGAGGTCTTGCCGAAAGAATAAGCCGTTATCAGAAAGTACTTGATACTGTTATATTAATAATTGTGACATGTTTATGATGTCAGATTTCGTTTATAATTTCTGGTAAGTTTAATTTTGGATCGATCAATTTAACCCCCCAAATATTGTGTCACACAGTTGTTTCCCCCCCAAACCATGATTTGTTTACATATGGGCTACGGACAATACGCATAATATATTAACCGCACATTTGTTTCAAGTGCAGTGTCCAATGCGCAGTCCCTGGATTTGCACATACATGTATGTTGTTGTGTGGTCGATTGTATGGTCGTTACGTTGTTATGCTGTATGATATACACTAACACATGTTATCGGTGATTTTCAGTACATTCGGTATATTTGGACAATGGAACAGACAATATGAAGGGGGCATCATCAATCACATGAGAACGCTACACAGAAGATGGGGTAAAATCAGTCAATAAACCATTTACAATCGTATAACAGCATTCATTGTATTGCGTATGTTTTTGCAGATGAGAGTAACCGTGTGTGTGAGGTAACCAGGTTTATAATTAGTATAAATCGAATGACTTTTTTTTTTGTTCTTTCCAATTTGTCCCCTTCTCCCCCCCCCCCCACCTCCCCCCACCCGACTCTTCCCCTTCCTCATCTTATCATTCGGATCTCGATAATTTCAAAGACTTCTTTTTAGGGCTGGGGCTGTTGTTGCGTAAACATAGATCTGGCTGTTTTTATAGCCTCATTCATCGTTAATTCGGGTTAGCATGGTTTTTAGTCTGAGCCTGTGTTTGTATCAGGTTATTAATAGAACTCATTTTTATACTGTATGCAACGCATTGATAGTATTCGCTTTATTGGTTTGCATGCCTAGCCTTTGGGAAAATTGGCTGGTGTTTGTTGTTGTCGATATGGTTGGTTCGTTGACTCATGTAAGCAATGGGATTTACGCTAAATGAGCTGTCCGATGCGTGCTACAATGGATCGATTAAAAAACTCGCTTTTTTTGTACACCAAGAGCTAGTAAAAAATCGAACGGGGGACTATTTATTATATGGCACAAGATACCCAATTATATTATACAGTTACAATTGTCACCATATACACAAATCATCAGGACACATTATGTTTGTTCTATGTTACGATGCCGCTTATATTAAAACCAGTTGTCAATGAAATAAATATGTGTTATATTGTAATTCCTTAAATCTTAAATTTAAGTTGACCAATTCAATATAATCGTCCCGCGCCTCCGTCAGAAATATCAAATTATTTGTTACCTACAAGTAATTCCCGCTAACTATATTACACACATGTTCTATATACAGAGCTACTATCATATCAGGGGGACCAGTCGACTTGCCCCCGAAATTAAGGTTGTCGACCGACATTTTGTGATTACAAATCCCGAATTGAACCAGCTTTTTTTTTTGTCGATATGAGACGTTGGACTGTATAGGTGTAATCTCCATTCGTGTTTGGTTGGCATCCAATATTATCCATTCATATACGCACCATACACACCTCCCCCCTAATGTGAAGCGATAGCTGCTCGTGCTTTAATCTTCGCTTTTTGTGTTCTAATACTCGCATCATATCGATATCTCCGTATGGAATGCACTAGAACATACATAATCATACCATAATGCAGCGACTGCATATGTAAGACATACACCATTCGTCGTAGCCCCATTGTGTCTTTACTAGATATCCTCATTTGTTGTGCTGTTCATTTTGCTCCAAACCTTAAAAAAGAAAAAAAAAAAAAAAGGCTCCAAGAAAACAGAGCTGATTTATACCACATTGATAACCACAAGTAGTCGCATGCTTCTGCTTCGCCATGTGTCTTTGTTAACCAAGTTGGTTGTCGAAAAAAGTGGTAAATGAAAGATACACCTTTAATCAGATACGTATCGATATGTGTTACTCTTACGTATGCATGTATAAGATTCATATTAATTCGTGATAAACTATAGTCCATGTCCCATTGTCCATACGTAGCCTGCTGATCTTGTTAAATTTCCCCTTGTTTATCACCAGAGAGTATGGGTATTGGGTGGATAATTAACAAAAATGTTTTGTAGTTCAAACGGGATATTATAACCAATTATATCAAATACTCCCCTGCATCTTATATCTTAGGTTGTAACCTCGGGGACTACCCCTATGTGACTTTACGTTCCCGAACATGAAGAGCAAAGTCTATGTAAGTTGTGATTCTGCAGGGCAGTTTTATTTTCATTCCTCATTCACTCACACACTCTCTCTCACTCACTCACACACTCTCTCTCTATTTTTTTTTTCTTCTTTTCTTTCGCATGGAAGTGGTTACACATTTACTGATTGGAGTGGTATAGTCGATACCATTCCTGTCGATATTCATGCATCTGCAGAATGTCTTACATTGAGAGATTGTGAGTGGGAATTGTAATACAAATGAATGGTTTTTTAACTCCGAAATTAAATAGTGACCCAAGTCCTCCGTTGGAACCTTAAGTTTACGTAAGCAGATGAAAAGGGTAAATACCTTCTTATTTTTCGCACCTGTCAAAAAAATGGTGCTGCATCATACGATATTTCGATTAGTCTGAAAGTGTTACTTTGCCAATCTTGTTGGCAAGAGATTTTTGTACGCTCAAGCGTTTACGAGCTAAAAAGTCTAGTATGTTTATTTATATATAAACTATATTAATAACAAAGTTTCAGGCAGCGATGAATAAACCATTGTGTGTCTGCTCCACTCGTGGAAGTAGCCCGTCCCTCAACCTGTTCTCTCACGTGCGGTTTAGATTGTAGTACAGTCTGTTATTTTATTTGCAATCTTTAAGAGTAAATGCCAACAGCCTGTCATCCAAAATTGAGACAACAATGTTACTTAATCGGGCAAGCACCGAGCCATTTCAGACGAGGGGTGAGTAAGTAATATTGTAATATTTCTCAGATCCTTACTATGAAAAATTCAATTAATATTTATTTATTTGGTAATTATTTGGTAACCATTCGAATTTTTATGTTAACAACAACAACAACAACATGCAGGTGCTTGAATATCACACTCGATGAATATAATAAAAAACACAATGTCTGGTAATCACAAAATAACACTGTATTACTATGTATACTCATATATATAATATACATGTAATATTATAGTTAACAGATTTCATGATCAATTACTTATTATATATTTGTGCTGCGCCGATATTGATATTGATATTGTTGTATATTATATTATACTATACTATCTTTTCTAATACCATTTATTATAAATACAACTTCATTCTGGAACATTTGCAGTTGCTCATGAGTAATGATGATGATCTTCCAGGCATTGACCTTTAATGAACATGCAAACTTACACTAGACGATACGAACAAACACTGTGGATCCCCAGCTACGTTATTTCCGTCTATTATATTCACATGTCATTCTGTGAATAAGCCGCAGACAACCCCAGTTCACCTCATCATTACATCTTACGTCAAAGTTCTATTCTTAATTCAACCATATATCATTCCTTTTATGACATCTACAGCCACATCTAACCCCCCCCCCCCCCCCCCCTCCCCCCCACCCCCCCCCCCCCCCCCCTCTCCCACTTTCTCTGTCACCTACCTTTCATCGCACAAAGTACAATCTTGTAAATCGTGGATTAGAACACTTATATGCATATATGCACTACTCGCAACAATACAATCGAATTCAACATTCAAAGCTCATTATAGTAGTAGTCATTTCTGTATATATATATTGATACTTTATATTACTAATACGGTATCCTGAAAACGTATATAAATTGCGCTCACTCGGGAGTATCTTACCCTGGTATCCGACTCTCAACAACCGATACGGTTGACACTACGACGATTTACAAAATTTGTACATAAATTTCTTCCCTATCGAAACATCATCATTCACTCAACACATCTATTCTTTTCCTTGACCTTTCTTCTTCTATTCGTCCCTTTAAAAAAAATTCCATACAATGACTTCTACTTCATCAACTCCACTATCCAAACAGTCGAATCCTCGACAAAGAAGGAATACCCTTAGCATTATCATTCATGCTACAATGCAGCTCCTTTCGTCCCCGCCCACTTCCCCTACTCATTCCACTGTCGATGGTGCTATACTCTCACAATCATCGATGTCATCCACATCGTCACGTGATGACTCATCGGAATATTTTTCATTCCCAGACTATGAAACGTATATTAAGGATGTGGAAGAGACCGAAAAGATGGTCGTTCAGATGGAAGAGTTTGACGAAATGGTTGTCAACGGAGTTAGAATACGCTCGCCAAAGAATTAAAAAGAAAAGAAAAAAGTATAAAACCACCGAAAAGTATGGAATATATAATAGATGTGATATGATGACAAGTGGCATAAATGGTTATGTTTAATAATAGAATTTGTTATCGCGTGTTCAATGTTTGGAAAAAAGAAAAACAAACGGAAATCGATTTTCTTTATAAATATCGGATTAATTCAACGAACAAATAATCAGCAAATCATCGTAATCGACATGCAAATGAACACTTGACTAAAATGGAAAAGGCTTGAGAAGCTTCTTGTGGCGACGACAATATAATATTATAAGGATTTGGCCACTTATTACACAGTGACCATATTATGATTTATTTATATATGCTCTAATTGGATGTATATTATATTACTGTATCTTTTTTTTACTACTGTTATATTTCTTTTAAAAAAACTATTCCACAGTCTATCGATAATTTTTTTCTCTTACACTTGGAAAGGGGAAGAAAACCCAACGAAAAACTGCTTATGATTAATTTAAACTTAACAAGCACAGACGAGCATAAAGTTTACAACTATGTAGGAGAACAACGACCAGCAATTTTCTTTTTTCTTTCTTTCTTTATTTCTTATCCTTTTTTTTCTTTTCAGCTCTCCCCCGTTATTACCAGTATTATGCTTTTTTTCTTTTCGTATACAACTCATCTGCAATTTTTAACAGTTGGTTAATTTCATGTGACCCCAAATCCCTTCGACGCTTCTTTCTCTGATCCCAAGAAAGTGGGAAAGTTTTTTTTTGCTTAGAATACTATTTTTCTCTTGTGGATATGAAATACTTTATTCGAAACGAGACTGGATGAAAGTGAACTATACTTCAAAGTGACGTCTATTTGTTTGAAGTAAAAATTCTCTTTGTTATGACCGGTTCTCTTATCGTAAGAGCAAACGAATATCCACTTCCATCGATTCGATTCATTCGCTTAAACTTTCTTGAATCAGAGATACAGCTTACGTAAAAAATTGTTTATTTGTATTTTGTAAATATTTACATTTTGTTTATATTCGTCTTTTTTTTTCCTTTGCTAAAAAAAAATTACCTTCTTTAGTCAATTAATTTCTTTCGTCTTTTTTTTTTTTACATACGCATGTTCTTTTGGGAATGGAAGAAACAAATGCGCGCTAAGTTATGACTTTTATTTCTTATTTTTTTTTTTCGCCAAAAAAAAATTGTTTTCATTATATTTTACTTTGTTGTTTTTCGAGACTGAACGAAACGTTTATAGTTCCTTTTCTCTTACTTCTCTTTATTATGTCGAATTCATTTTATCCCTTCCCCCTTTTTTACTATCTATTAAAAAAACTCGATACATTTCAGTTCGTTTAATTTTATATATTTTTTTTACGAGACAAATATTCGAATCTTGTCTTTTGTCAATAAATAGTAAATCATATGAACAAAAATCGGTTTACGCGCGTTTGTCCTAACATTAATGATACTGAAGCGGTTTCGTATATAAACGAGCATGTTTATGGTCGCAATGCTGGCTAACTTTCATGGCTGTTTCCGTGAACAAGTTGTTAACACTTCAAAGATCGATGGGAATTTTTGTTTGCTATTGTAGATGTGTTTGCGAGGTGAGTGTTCGGTGAGAACATCATCATTGGATTGATATTCGACATAGCATGCTTAATGTGCCATTAGAGCCTTTACCGATAATTCGTTTTCATCGAGAACGTAATTAATTTGTTCGCGTACTGCTTCATCTTGGGTACCTAATAAATGTACTTTCCGCGGACTGAGATAATAAATCTTACCTGTTGATCGGAATGGGGTACGTGAACGTTTTGTGCCCAATCGTAACTGTAATGAGCG